ACTCTTAATCTCACAAAACAAACTGAGGGTTGCTGGGGTGGGGGGCAGGGGTAGGGAGAGGGTGGTGGGGTTATGGACATTGGGGAGGGTATGTGCTATGATAAGTGCTGGCGATTCACAGGCCTGTACCCCTCGGGCTAATAATACATTATATGTTTATAAAAAAATAAAAAATATTATTAAAAAAAAAAGAGTTGTATCCAGCTTTTTTCCTCTGGAACCCATCCCTCACTTAGTTACCAGATATGTTTTTTAAAAACACATTTTATCATATGTCTTTCATACTCATATGTTTGGACAGCTCTAGTTTATCTAGAAAATAAAATGTGAATTACTCAGTAGGACACAATTTGACCCTAATCTACCTTTACAGACTCAGTTCTTCCTGAACACATCCACCTCAGCATTTCTTCCAGCTAAGAGTCAGCCTGACTCCTAGCCAAGTCAAGCTGTCATCAAATGGTATGTCTGTTTACCTAGTTCTTCGTTTACTTGGCATGGCCTCCTGAAACCCCGCTCCCCCAAGATGCTGATGAGGCCAAAACAAAGACAGAGGCATGATCTTCGAAGGTTTTATAAGACAGCATAAGGACTCTAAGAATCATTTTAATTGTGATAGGAAGACACACAGACACCCTGATCTAATTCATTTTTTAAAGAATCACTTTTGCTGCTATGGGGAGAATAAGCTAAGAGACAAGAGTGTAAGTAGGGAAGTGGTGGGAGGAAAAACACGACTAAAAAGTGGCTCCTAGTTCTGAACAACTGGGTAAATGTGGTCAGAGTGCTGGGATTGGGAAGCCTTTGTGTGTAGGAGGGAAAGCCGAGGTAGAAGAAGGGGTGTGGGGCATGAATTTTGTTTGGACATATAAAATCTGAGAAAGCTCAGGGCGCCTGGGTAGCTCAGGTGGTTGAGCACCCGACCTGGTTTCAGCTCAGGTTATATTCTCATGGGTCTTGAAGCGGAGCCTTGCAGCAGGCTCTGCATTCAACGAGGAATTTGCTTGAGATTCTCTCCCTCTGCCCCTCCCCCAACATGTGCAACATGCATGAACTCTCTCACATAAACACATAAATCTTAAAAAAAAAAAAAAATCTGAGAAAGCTCTTGGTTGCTCTACCCCTCTTGATTCCAGTGACACTGTTTATACTGTGATTTTATAATCTGTCACATGCTGACATAATTTGTTCCATGCTCATCACTCTCTCCAGTCAGACTGGAGGCTGTTTGAGGGCAGAGACTGTAATATTTAGTCCATATCCTTAAGAGAGGACCTTCAACAAAGCAGTCACTTAAAATGACTATAGAATGAAAAAAAAAATGACTATAGAATGAAAAAGGTACCGTTCTACAAACCGAGGAACGCCAACCTAACAAGAAAAAGTTACTTTTCTAGCAGTCTCCATCATCCAGAACTTACCCTGAATCAGGGTTAACAGAAGTTACTGCAGACCATAAACCCGCCTTGCTCGGAGTCCAAGCTTCCAGCACAGAAACTCACATAGAACATACATCAAATCAACCTGTGCTTTTCAGCCTCCTAACAGGGGGCCCATACTGATTAGCTCAGTGTCAAATAGCTTTTCTTTCTCACTCTTTTTTTTTAAAGATTTCATTTATTTATTTATTTGAGAGAGAGCACAAGCGAGAAAGCACAAGCAGTGGGAGGGCTGAGGGACAGGGAGAAGGAGGATCCCCACTGAACAGGGATCCTGATGGGGCTCAATCCGAGGATCTGGGGATGATGACCTGAGCCGAAGACAGACACTTAACCAACTAAGCCACCCAGGTACCCATAAAAAGCTTTTCTTTATACTGCACAAAGCCAAACATCTACAGATATGATTTGAATATTTACATAGGTTTTCAAGTAAGATTTTTTTTTTTTTTAAAGAATTTATTTAGTTATTTGACAGAGAGAGATCACAAGTAGGCAGAGAGGCAGGCAGAGAGAGAGAGAGAGAGGAAGGGAAGCAGGCACCCTGCTGAGCAGAGAGCCCGATGCGGAGCTCGATCCCAGGACCCTGAGATCATGACCTGAGCCGAAGGCAGCGGCTTAACCCACTGAGCCACCCAGGCGCCCCTGTAATCTTTATTTTTTAAGATTGTATTTATTTATTTTAGATAGAGAGAGAGAGAGAGAGCACGCGCGAGCACCAGTGCACGCACATGTAGCGGCAGAGAGGGTTGGGGGCCTCGATCCCATGACCCTGAGATCACGACCTGACCAGAAATCAAGAGCTGATGCTTAACAGGCTAAGCCAACCAGGCCCCCTGTTTTTGTAGTCTTGTATTTCAGATACTAACATACAGAGATTCTTATATTTCAGATTCTAATAGATTTCTTGTATAGTCAGGAACATTTAACTGTTTATCCCTTTTAAAAGCTCATTTGAATACTGAATAGAATCACAGATTTTTTTTTTTAAGATCTTATTTATTTATTTGACAGACAGAGAGAGAGAGAGAGATGGAGAGAGACAGCACCAGCAGGGAGAGTGGCACGCAGAGGGAGAGGGAGAAGCAGATCCCCCAACATGGGGCTCTATGTCAGGACCCTAGGATCTTGACCTGAGCTGGAGGCAGACGCTTAACTGTCTGAGCCACCCAGGAGTCCCTAAAATCACAGAATTTTTAAGACAGAAATTCACTAAATCCAGAGCCCTCATTTATCTGTAGGGATAAGAAAAGAGGCCTGAAAAAAATTTCTCGAGATTCTACAGTCATGTAGAAAAGGAGCCAGGTATAGAAACTAGTTTACCTGTTTCCTACTACATGATTCTTTTCCACAAAGATAAACTTCTTAATGAATAAAATGGATTAATGTGGCCATTTTGCAATGGACTACATATTCTGCTTCTATAATTTTTCTATACATATATATATATCTCAACAAATTTTATAGGAAGGCTATGCCTTAAAATGAGGTCAAGCATATTAGTAACTAAAACAGTCACGTGAAGCAGTGTTACCATGTATTAAGTGGCTTGATGGTAATGCTTCTGAGAGCAGGCACACACACAGAGACGTGCATGATAGAAATGCTATACTTAAGAGCTATATGGCCACGGAAAGCTAACGGTAAATGGACCAAAGCCTATGTACAATGGTGAAGTTTGTACAACTTCCCTTTATCATATCTAGCTTTCCCTTTATTCTTTACCTGTTTCAGTAGTAATCCTTCCTCCCATTTCAAAAGGCTTCCTACATATCCTTATTTTTCCCTTTATGAAATAGGAAAGAATTTTATTTCTATTATCTTCACCTTGTTTGCTGACAAACTTAAGATACTACTTGAATGAATTTTAATCAATATATTATAACTCAACCAGACACTTCTACGCTTTCGATCCTGAAGTGTGGAATCCTGGATTTGTTCCCAGAAGAATTTTAGACCTCAGCAGGAAGATGGCAGGAATCAAGTGGTGGAGACCAGTTGTCTCCCTCCTGGTCATTAAAATGACATGATCTGAAGGCAAACCAAGTATCTAGATGGGGTGCAGAGAGTAAGAGTCTAAAGGGGTGGTGCGGACTGTGACTCTACTGTGCTCAAGAATGACCAACGCCGCTGTTCCAACTTCTGGCACACATCTGAAACATCAGAAATTTAAAATTTCTAAGGTTTGGGATAACTTCATTATTATAGTGATTTGCAATTGGAATTGAAAGTTTGTGTGAAGCTAGCATGCACACTCATCATGTTTATAAGTATGTTACATGCATAGGGTGTCTTATGCTTACAAAGTGCTTTCGTATGTGCGTTGTGACTTGAACTCCAAAACACCAAGTGTAAACATCATTTCCACTTTCAAATAAAGATTTAAGGGGATGGGGACGACTGGGTGGCTCAGTTGGTTAAGCAGCTGCCTTCGGCTCAGGTCATGATCCCAGCGTCCTGGGATCGAGTCCCACATCGGGCTCCTTGCTCGTCAGGGAGCCTGCTTCTCCCTCTGCCTCTGCCTGCCATTCTGTCTGCCTGTGCTCGCTCGCTCTCCCTCTCTCTCTCTGACAAATAAATAAATAAAATCTTAAAAAAAAAAAAAAAAAGATTTAAGGGGATGACGGTAATAAAAGGCACAGCCAGGATTGAATACAAGAATTCTTAATTCAAGTATGTTCTCACTGTAATGTGTAACTTATACAGCAACATTAAAATACAATAATATTAAATAGCTTCCATATGTAACTCCAAACACTTTTAAAGTAGAAAAGTAATATGGTTCCCAAATTTCTAAATAAATTATGTTGCTCTTTTGAAGCTCAAGTTTATTATAATCTCTTTGTCAAAGATAATAATTTTGTTCTCTGCTGTCTCACCTTTCTAAAAGAATTCAGTAGAAAAAATACTGTGCAAACATATAGCTTAATGAACAGAAATCTTCTCCTTTAATTACCCAAAATACACATTTCTCACCTTGATGCTTTTTCTTTGACATCCTGTGAAAATCTTATTCAATTAAATTTAAAACATTAGCTTAAAAATTTGCAACTGCACAGTTTGTTTCAACTCAGTGATTCATGTTGATTTTTATAAGTAGCTTCTTTGCATATCTTATTAATTTGCCAACCTTGAAGAAACATGGTATCACTGGCAGGTTGCATCCTGTTTCTTCTCAAATGCATTTTACCTTGGTTTTTCTTGAAATGAGTTATAGAATGGGAGTATTCATCAACTATGGCTCCTTTATCCAAGGAAAAGTGAATCAGATTTAATATTACACAGATTTAAGACTCACATGTTTTGCTACTTTAAAATTGTTTTCTGCTCAATAAAATAGAGCTTTAGAGTATCCACTATTAAAGTTACTAAATTCAAATTTGCTTTTAAAAAGAATTTTAGTGATTATAAAGAAAAAAGATGCTAGAATATCATTCAAGTGTGAAAACCGACCATTACAAAGCTATGAGCTGTATTTCTGAAGTGAAATAAAGGATATTCATTAAAAAAAAAATAGCATGTGCACATTTAAAAGAATACTCAAAATAAGAAAGGGCTCACCGGTCTGAGGGAAACCAGACTGAGGTAGAATCTGATGAGTGGCCAGCATGTCTGACTGTTTTAACTTAGACTGCTGTGAGGAGGCTGACGTTGAAGAAAAGGAGAGATTTTTGTTGACCTGTAATAGGAAAGGCAAATCAGAACCAAAGTGTAATTTCCTGGGTTACTGATGCAAAAACTGGATGAGAAATATTTGCCTGCGATGTAAACCAGGTCACATGGCAGGTCAAAACAAATGGTAAGGATTTATATGCTTTGTTTTTAAGGTTTACAGAACAGAACCGTTTTTATCAAGGAAGGAGTACAGTGGTAATGAAAGTGTCACTGTATGAAAGTACATCTGCCTTACCAAAACAAATCTGTTTATCGTGAAATTGACATTATTAATAACTTAGAGTGGTCTTAAAAGTTATTCAAAGACGGCAAAAATTAAAAAAGTGACCCCACTTCCGACTTTCAATTAAGAAAGTTAAAATGTTTCACAGTCACATTTCTTCAGCATTTCGAGAACTAGCAGGTCCTTTCTTTTCAGAGACTGCACAGAAAACTCCTATAATACTCATGTTTACACACATCATGGTGACATGGGTAACAGAGCTGTAACCTTACTTGCCAAATGGAATAGCTATCATTGCATCAAAAACACTTATTCTTAAGGCACTGTTTAAAAACAATACTGATCTAATGATGAAGCAAAATTTCTGTAAGTAAATACAATGCTCTATAACACAAGAAGCTTACTATGACTGTCTGAATACAATACTGTCCTCCAGAAATGACACCTGTAACAAGTACAACATTGTAACTATTGCTTTTGTAGGAAAACAAAGAACAGCTCACAAAGAAAGTTTTACATGTAAATTTATCTTGTAACTTTGAATTAATTTTGGCAATGATCTAGTCTATCTGATTATTATTCATTACTTATTTTTTGAAAATCAGGATAAAAATTTTCAGAAATCAGGATAAAAATGTGATCTAATTCTGAAAGATTTGGAAGTCTGAATTTCTAATTTATTGCAAAATGTAATCTGTGACTTGTCAACTAGTAAATGATAGTTTACGGCATATAAACGCTAATATATGAAAACAGCTGCCTTCTCTCATTGTAAAAAATAATCGAAATTCCCTTTTGATGCTCTACATAGTAGTGGATTGTGATTATTACATGTCCTTTATCTGACTCATCATTTATATAATGTTTGTAAATGCTTCTCTTCTTTCAGTGACAGTAAATGGTATATCTTAGATTAAGCTTTTCTCTGGAAGCAAAGGGCTTTTACGTATTTGGTGAAAAAGTCTACAATCATTAAGATCATATGACAATATAGTTCTAAAGTTGGTAAACTGTTGTGATATTATTTTACAAAAAGCAAAAATATTTTTCAAAGTAGTTAGATGGGGTCAAATACCACACCAGTGCTAAAAAAAATTATCCAGCTTTAAAAATTCTATCAGAATCCATTATTAAACATTGACCAAAATTAATGGTGACTTTATAGTAATATAATACCTAAAGTAACAATGAAATCATCTCACATCTTTGAGCTTTATTTCCATCTTAAAGCACAGATAATAAAAATAAAAATAGTAAGCATGCTTCAGTGGGAAATGTGCTGGAGAAACAATAAAGATGAACTGGTATTATAAATTACCATTCACATATGCGAGACATAAAGCACTAAATAACATATTAAATAAAAAACAGATTTAAATTGAGTATGTTGGCAAAGGGAAGCCATAGGACACTACACAAATAAAGCTCTATAGAAATACTGGTTATCAACATCACTAGAAATCAGAGTAATTAGGGATATGTAATTTAGTACAATGATGCAGTAAATATTTCAGGGTGCTATGCTTTTAAATGGAAGGACTATATACAGTGATATATTTATCATTTAACAATTTAATCCACTTCTCTTTTTAGAATCATTTTCAGTTTTACTTCTGTGTTCTTAAAAATTTTTATCCTACATGTCAAACAATGCATTTTGAAATCTGGTGCAAAAGAACAGGTGTATGCTGGGGATGGGGAGACACACACACACACACACACACACACACACACACACACACAGAGTCTTTTCAGGCTTCCTCTTCAGATATTTACTTGTGCTCAAACAAAAAGAACACCAGGAAAGCTAGAATAGGATACTTGTCTCTGCTCAAAGAGAGAAACTTTACAGTTTCTTCCTAAGCATTTTTAAAATTCTGCTCTTTCTTGACACATTTTTGAAGAGACTATCTTATATCTATGAAGTGGTTAATTGGCAACATACGGCAGATTTCAAAGGTTTTGGACAGTTGTTAATTATTACAGTGACTTGAAATTAGTACTCAAAGTATTTTCAAAGCTAGCCTATACACATTCACTACTTAGAGGGAGAAAAATAATAATAACCATTAAATAGAGTGAAGCAATATCTATTTTTGAAATACATGCTGTGGAAAAGAATTGCTTAATAATTTTACAACAACAGAAAGGTTGGCTAAGATAGTCTACCCTACACGAATCTGCCCTCTTTTCACAACACGCTTTTCTGCTTGCTTCATGCAAAAACCACAGTCTGCCAAAGTCAGTTTAATACCTCCAAACTGGGGAAAACAAAAAGCATAAAAATTTGATGAAATTTATAATAGAAAAAAAGAAAAAGTATCACCTGAATTTCTGTCATGTTAATCACAAAAATGTTTTTGGCTACTCTTTCAGAGCAGAAGCAGCTTTGTGCAAAATATGCAAACACTAATTCTCTAAGAGGAGGTTAGTTTTCATATTAAAAAAGTCACTGTCCTGATCTAAAACTGAGGGCACAACACTGAACAAGCTAACAATTAATTTCTTTTTTGGTGATTAGCTAAACTATGAAACCTTTGGGAGATATGTAACACTCATTTTCATATACACTTATAAGCCTAATCATCTTAGCTGATTTTAGATCACATGCTACATTCACCTGAAGAATTGTTTTTAAAATTTCAAGCTGTGAAGACACCTCCAATTGGTTTTAAATTGTAACTTGAAACATGATAATACTGTCTATATACTCACGTTTGCAAATTTTTCCCCTTTCTTCCTGCAGAAGGCTGTTTTTTTCCATTAAATTGGAAAAACAATACAGTTAATACTTTAATTTGAGGATGGTTCTGGTTGCAAAAAAACCCCCAATACCCAGGAAATGTTTTATGGCAAATCAAATGTCTATTATAAAAATTAGAATCCCAGTAATTAAAGAACAAATGAAACAGAAAACCTGAGCCACAGTGAGATTCAAGGCAACTGAAGGCAGTTATCAATATTCTAGCACCATAAATTTAAAGTAGCTTAAGTTCTTGTGATTTCCAGGTAAAACCTAACAAATGAGTAGCCTTTGGTCATAAAGAGAAATTCAAACACAAGTTCTACTTCTCTAGATATTTTCCTTATAAATTACTATAGTGATGTGAGGGATTAGAAAGAAACATGGTTCCTGCTGGAAGAGAAATTTCTACAGTGGGGTAAGGTGCCAGAAAATCTCCCCTCAAATCAGTTCATCACGGCTGCATGAACTAAAACCAGAATTCCAATTTGAATCAGTTATAATGAAGTTCAGTTTTTCAGTACTTAATGCAGACTTTTTGAGCCTCTGATATATATATACCAAGGACTGGTAGTGCAAGATGATTGATTAATGGGACTCCCCTGTGTAAAACTTAAGATTTGGTGCTGGTTCAAACCATCTACCCAACAACATGCCTTAGTCACAGTCTATTTACCTCAATATATTTTGGTTTTCTTCAAACCTTTGCCTCTTTTAACATATTTCCTTACTTCATAGAGAAAATTTGGTCTTCAACTCTCTGAAATCTTCATTTTCAAACCTGTAAAAGAATATACATCTTGCCTCCACCTTCAATGTCTTTTCTTCTAGTGTCCTTCTGTTCGAGATTAGTGCCTCCATCTATTCCCTTGGGGATACTTAAAGTTCTTCCTAATTCTACTTTCAAGTTCTCTACTGACTGTTTCCTTATAGGATATAAGCACAGATCGTTCTACTTCAGTATAAAAACAAAGAGCAAACAATCAAAAACTCTCTCAATGATTCCATAATTTCCTTAAGCTTCACTAAAAGCTACACTCCTTGAAAAACAGCACATAACTACTACCCATTTAACTTAAACATTCAATCTCAACCAAGTACAACTAAGCTTTTCTCCACCAGAAGACTAAATCTGAAGTTAAAGTCACCACACCCAAGACTTCAAATGGTCAGTTAACAGACTGATTTAAGCAGCTAGGATCTCTAACACTGCCCATCACTCTCCTCTCTTGTTTCTGGAAAACTATTTTCTGTTGGTTTATCCTGCTACTGCTTATCAGGGTTGTTTGCTAGACCCAGGGACCTTCTCTTCCCCCACACTGCAAGCTTACCCTGGGCAGCAACATTTGTTTCCATCACTTCAACTGCTAACTATGCTGATGTTTCTTTTTCTTTCTTTGTTTCCCTTCCTTCCTTCCTCCCTCCCTCCCTCCCTCCCTCCCTCCCTTTCTTATTATTATGTTCAGTTAGCCACCATAGATTACGTCATTAGTTTCAGAAGTAGTGTTCAATAACACCCAGTGCTCATCACAAGACGTTTTTTAAATCCAAAACTCTTCCAATCAGTAGGTTCAAGACTAAACCAACTTTTCCTCGACTATTTACTTCCTCAGGAAAGCTTTGCTATCTACCTAAGTTGCCTTGGCCAGAAAGGTGGGAAGCCTACACTGCCATCTCGCCCTCCACAGAGAATCAGTCATGAAATCAATTCGGTGCTCTGACATCTGACCTCATTCTTTCTCCAGTCAGTGCTTTGGGTCAGGCCTTCCTCTCTGCTTGCAAACTACTGCAATCGCCTCTGGATTTGTTTTCCCTATCTCCTGTTTCTCTAATTCTTCTGCACTGCTGACAACATGCTCTTTCTAAAATACTAATTTTATTCAGTAACATTTCTGGTTAAAACCCACCATCAGTTGTTCTACTAGGTAAAGTCCATAGTTTTTAGCCTGACATACAAAGCTTTCCATATTCTAACAACTACCTAGCTCTCCAACCTTATCGCTCCTTTTCTTATTTTCTGGCTACAACAAAATGCATG